TTAAGGATATTTGTGTCATTTTCGTTTTATAATGATAATGATAATAATAATAATAATAATTACTTAATTAATTACACTATTAATTATATTACTAAAGTTTATTATTTTTAATAATATAATCAATATTAATTAACGTAATTGTTAATTTAATGTAAAGTTTAATTCGTAAAGTTTACGTTTAAAGTTTAATTTGATGTAAAGTTTATTATTTTTGTAAATTTAACGTAATTGCTTATCATAAATTAATAATATAATCAATTATTTTTGTCAATTTAACATAATAGATAAGACACGTGAATAATTTAGTAATTAATTTATTTGTTAATTTAACGAAGTTATGATTTAGTAATTTATATAGTTATAAAATAAATAAATAAATAAATATTTTAAATAAATACATTGTCAAAAATCAAAAGAATGAATAAAATAATAAAGCACTATTCATTTGGTGTAATGGTTGGAGAAGAATTTTGGTTTGGTGCAAGATTTAGTGCAAAATTTGGTGCAAAATAGTGCAAAATTTGGTACAACGCTGGAGATGGCCTTAGTACTACGAGTACAATCCTACATTATTGGTAGGACCTCTTTTGCTTGGTTCTTAATGCAGCTAGTTATCTCATCCATGAGAAGCTATTATTTCTATATATAAGCATTTTTTATTCCAAACTCAATCCTTACACTCCTTTCGTGCCAAAAAATAAAAAAATAAAAAAAATGATTGAAGTCCGGAACCTATTTTTGAGACAGATTTACCCAATTTATTTACCTTTCAATTTTGTCATATTTAGGTTTGCTATTATAGGCAGCACTATATTTGTTTTGCCTACAGTCACGAATCAGAAAAGTGGATCATGTATGATGACGAAACTGTAAAGGTAAAATTGCCATCTATTGCCACGTATTCATTCATTTTCTCTTTTGTTGTTTGTCTATGATTGATATTTGATGTCTAGGTAATTGGTGGCTGGAATGATGTTGTTTCCATGTGTGAAAGAGGACGCCAGCAACCCCAAGTCCTCTTTTTTGAAGCTGTAAACTAGTACTTAAATGGGTTGAATGTGCTACTTGATACGCATTTTAGCATCAGCGTGTCATTCAGTCTTGAACACAAAGCATAGTGATATCTGCCTCAGTAGATTTTTAGGTCAGTTTGTAACTGAACTTTCTGATATATACCAATGTCAACATGAAGGCCGGAATTTTATCATAAAGTAGAGATTTTTGTTGTATAACGACCAGCAATGAGAGCAATTATGTGTAAGAAAAGGAAAAAAGTTTGAAATGTGGTTTGACTGAAGAAAGTAAAAATAGAAAATAGGTTTTGATGCTCACTGGAGGCTCAGCAAAACTGGGTTTTCCTCAGCTGCTTTCTTCTAATTCTGTGATCTTATCAACTGGGTTGATTAAAGATGGAACAGTAACAACTACCTCGATTTTGGAGATGTGTGGTACTCAGAGGATGTGAAAATTGACTTCTTAAAGGCAACTAGCACCTACGTTTGATGGATACCAAAATTGTATAGAGAATTTCTTGTACTTAGATTCAAAAATCAGATTGTTTTCCAGAGGAAATTGTGTATAAATTGAATACCGGCCCCTTGTCTTCTGCTACTGCCGCCTATAGTAATATCTCCTTTTCAGTTTTCTTTTGTGAAAAATTTGTTAGGTCACACTGTATAGAACTCTTGTATATTGTATCGTATATCAGGTTGATGATGGAAGAAATAAATGGAACGACTTATTTCTACTATCTTGGTCTATATTTTTTTCCCACACTATTCATTATTCTGCCGAGTTATGATCAATGTTCTGGTTGTGACTTAATTTAAATTTCTTATGATTGTTCTGTTCCTTTTCCCTTCATATGTGAGTAAATGCTTGTGGTGTAGTCACCATTAACCAATACAGAATGAAAATGATTTTGAAGTCATTTATCATCTGCCCTTGTGCACCAAAATTCCCCCATTGCACAATGTTGGATGAGAAAATTCATTACAAGTTACAACCCGAGTCCTCAATAGTTCCCAATTGGGTAGGGTAACTGAACCTTTTCTTAAGCTATTTTATCAGCATTATGGTTCAAATCGATTGATACCATGGATAAAGTTTAATTCTATGAGAATTTGTTCGCTACAGATATCCTCAACAAGGTACTTGATACCAAGACAATTCTCTTGGATTTTGTTCATTATCTTCTTCTTTACCACAGTGATCCCTTTTTGACCCTCTCCATATTTCCTTCTTGTGCAAGATCTTGTGGGTTTGAAATTCGGTTCTTTCCAATTATAGCTTTAAAATTCCCTAAATTTTTCTACCGAACAGCATGCTGTAAGACAGAACCAATATTGATATTGTTGACACACTAAAAGTGCAGCCCAAATCGAATAGCCCAAAGAATGAAACCCAATTGAGGAATTCCCAAATCAAATAGCCCAAGGAATAAGCCCAATTGAGGAATTCAGGATAAAGGTCCAGACATTGTCATTAATGAATGCAATGGAAGCTCACGAATAAAGAAAGTGGGTAGTTATAGAGCAATCAAGCAGTTTCCAAGCGGTTTGTTATGAAGAAATCATCAAGGGAATATAAAAGGAAGAGAAGACATAGAGAAAAGGACCCGAATCAAACACTCTCAAACAGAGAATATGTAATTTCAATTTCTTATTTTAAACTTAAACATTTCTTTCAGTACTCGTGTGCTTGCGCCCCTTGGAGGCATTCTGTTTAGTTCCAATTGTAAATCATCTCCAATAAAACACCCCTTTTTGGGACTTTGTCTCAAGAGGTTTGTTCTTTACACAATCGTCTGATCCCTTTTTAATTGTTAGCGACTACCCGCGCGAAACAATTTGGCATTCCCGGTGGGACCTTGGTGTTTGGTGTTGAAGATACAAAATGTGAAATAATATGCCTCACAAATTTGATAAGGAAGCAGCAAGTCAGGGAGGAGTCCAGTCTGTGATCGAGCAATATGAGGAGCAGCATAGCTCTCCACGAACAGAGGGATAGAGTCAAAGCAGTCACAGTCATTACGAACTAATGACAGAGTTGAGTCCTCGAACCATGCGTGCATTACTTGGAGAACTCACACAGGATGTCGTTAAACAGGTAAATCTACGAAATATTCATAATATGAAAAGATTTACCCAGAATGGGAATGCACATTATTACAACATGGCTAAACAACTGAATACTTTGAATGAAATAATGAATAAGTTAATAGGCCAAATTTGCCAGCCAGTTGTGCCTCTTGTAAATCACTTTCAAGCTAGAACAATTGTGGGACATAATCCCCCAGTCCTAAGTCCAAGTCAAGGGATAGAACCACATTTTCGTCCCTTTACTTCAAACCAGGGGATGGTGTAATGCCAAATCAGAATAGTGGTAATGGTACAGCTAACTTGGGGGATAACCTAAATTTAAAAGATAATGTCCTAAATAATGGATAGAATGCCCCTCGTGTTAATGATGGAATAAATATTCAGGCTAACGGTAACAATGGCCCAAATTAAGGCAACTTTGTTGCTAACCAAGAACCAAACATTAGGCCCCAAGCAAATCAACCGATCAACCAACCTGTAGGAATTCCATATGACCCCAACGTCATGTTGAGGAATCAAATTATGGAAATAGTATAGGATCAGATGGCTTTTGGAGTACGTCCTATCATTAGGCCGACTTACACAAAGCCATATCTTGATTGGGTAGACCAAGCATATCCATGGCTTAGAGGGTATAAAGTACTAGAATTTTCACTATTTACCGATTTAGGAAAGGTGTCTACTCTAGAACACAAAGGGCGATTCACACTGCCAAGTGGTGAAGTAACAGACTACCATAAAATGAGGTTGTTCCCTAGTTCATTAACAGGAATAGCTTTCTCCTGACTTATCAATTTGCCAACGAACTCTGTTCAAACACGGCAACAATTGGAGCAATTGTTCCATGCCCAGTTTTATAAGACTGAGTCTGAAATTGTTTTGACTGATTTGGCGAGTCTGCGTTAAATGCCAAACGAATGGGCAGAAGGTTTCCTTCAAAGGTTCAAGACAGCAAGAAGTAAGTATTTTGTATCTTTGCCGGAAAAAGAGTTTGTCAAAATCGCTTAAAATTGTCTAAACTTTGATTTGAAAAAGAAATTCCAAGACAAGGAAATTCCTGATCTTTTTCAATTGAGCGCAAACGTGATTAGGTATGAACGATTAATAAGAGAAGAAGAGCAAATCAAAAATTATAGCAAGGGAACTTATTATAGAGACCCAAAATTTGATGTTCATACCATTAATGACGAATATTACGATCAAGTCGAAATGTGTTTAGCCGAATTGATTAAAGGAGATATGTATACTTATCCTATAATGGCTAAACCTAGACCGTCGGGCAAGGATGAGCCTATAAAATATGAAAACAAAAAGGCTAGAACGTTCTCGTTCGATGTAACTAAAGCTGACCTTATATTTGATAAACTATATAAGGATAAACAGATAAAGCTGAGCGATAAACATAAATTGCCAAGCCCTGAACAAGTTAAGGGTAAAAAATATTGTAAGTGGCATAATGCACGGTCACATTTGACTAACAACTGTTTGGTTTTTCGCCATGTGTTACAGGATGCCATTGAGTCAGGACGAATTACGTTCGAGGATAAGAAGAAAATGACAGTGGATGAAAATCATTTTCCACAACCACTCGGGGTGAACATGGTGACGACTGGTTTCAAAAACAAGTTGCCAAAATTCAAGTTGGTTATAGATGATGGGGAAGAGGACCCTGGGCCACATCCCAGTGTCTTTGAACGTATCAAAGGGAAGGAACCCAAAAAGGATGAAGACGTCCTGTGTGCAAGATGCAAAAGAGAAGTGAGTGCAAATACAGAGAAACCAGGGATATAGCAGCATCACCATCGCCCTAGTTTTTTCCCGAATGCTTAGCTTGGTCGAGGGCAAGGTATATCATTTTATAGGGGACCGCCTTTTGAGAGGCAGTTCAGGTCAGTAAATAATGGGAGAACATTCAGGCCACAACCTCGCCAACCAAATGTATGGCATTCGTTCCAGTATAACGCAGAAAGGTGATACCCTTCAACGAGATGACTAGAACCCAACAAAGGCGTTTTCAACGGAACTATGGACGAATGATGAGGTAACAACAGGGAATGCCACGTCCTAAAGCACCTAAGCTGCTCGAGGTAGCCAATCAAAATATTCTCAAAGACAGTGAAGAGACTGGTACAGGTGAATTAATGGAAGAATTACCAGAAACTTCTTTTGGGAGATCGAAGTTTGAGCGAGACAGAAGAGATGGAGAAGATCCAGATCAGCTCCTTATTATTCAGTTCGGTACGTTACCTCCTGTCATGGCTAATAATTACTTATTAGTCAATGAGTTCAAGAACAAAGAGAAAGAAGAAGAAGAAAGGGAGGATAACGAAGAAGAAGCATATGTGCTGGAACGTGAAGAAGGCCAAACTTCTAGAGGGGCCTACGATGATGAAGGGGATGATGGTATGATGGACATCGAAGAGGAAATTGAACTGAAAGTAGAAAGAAGAAAGAGAGGGGTATCGTAAAATACTTTGTTGAAGCAACTACATCGAGAGGGGGTTCGTGAAGTGAACTTGTTGGGGGAACCATCTGGGCGTTCTTTCGATTATTACGTGCTGTACGGGATGCCCAAAAGGAAAAAGAGAGTTCATTGCTTTGAAAAGTATGGATCACCTCCAAGAATAATGCCTCCTCCCACAGGTTGGGTAACCGAAGAAGAAGCATTAGAAAACAGTAAAAAGGAAATTTAGGAAATAGAAGCTCAGTGCGACATACTGCACATTGACTTATCATAAAAGGATAACTCGACGGAGGACAAACAGGAAGTGGAAATAGATGCTGTCGAAAAGGTTATTTTTAAAAGACCAGCCATGAAGTTAACTAAATACTTGAGGCCATTGTACGTTAAAGCTTTAGTTGACGGCATACCTGTGGCAAAAGTACTTGTTGATAATGGAGCAGCTATAAACACCATTCCATCTAGGATGATGAGGAAATTTGCAAAGGCAGAAAGTGGTATGATTCCAACAGAAGTCATCCTTACAAGTTTCAATGGAGGAGCAACTTCAGCTAAAGGGGTTATGCCATTAGACATAACTATAGGGACAACTACTAGGACTACAGTCTTCTTTGTAATAGATGGTCCTACTAGTTACAATGTTTTATTGGGAAGAGATTGGATACACGGAAGTCGCTGTATACCCTCATCGCTCCATCAATGCCTGATTTTTTGGAATGATAAGGGTGAAACAAAAGTGGTGCAGGCCGATCATGGGCCTTTTGTCGCAGAAGCAAACTCAGTGGAAATGTTCATGTATGAAGAAAATTATGGTCCGGTCAGAGTAGTATAAGATGGAGAAGAAAATCAGATTGTCACACAGAGTGAAGAGCCATTTTCGATAGATGCACTTACTGAAATGTTCAGTCAAATGAGGCCAAACATAGTGGCCCCAGAAGAGCCAATAATTGGCAAAAGAGTAATCAAGGAGTTTTAAATGAGTTGTAAGCAACAAAGGCAAATGACCGATGTTCAGACCTTCAAAACTAAATTAATGGCTTTCAATAAAGAATGTAAGGACAAGACGAAAGAAAAAGTAGCCTTGGAAGCATTGAAGTGTTCGAGTTGGAACAAAATATTAGTCGAGAAATCAATAAGGTGGATTGTTTAGAAGAAGAAATGCCTATAAGGGAATTAGACGATGAA